CGGAGGGGACAAAGGGGGACCCCGCGGTGCCAAGGGGGGACCCAGTGGTGCCATAGGGGGTCCTGGAGGGGCCAAGGGGGGTCCCGGAGGTCCCAAAGGGGTCCCAGAGGTCCCAAAGGGCGACCTGGTGGGGCCAAAGGTGGTTCTGGAGGGGCCAAAAGGGGCCCCAGGGGGGCCAAAGTGGGGACCCAGGGGTGCAAAAGGGGGTCCCGTAGGGGCCTTCATGGTGCCAAAGGGGGTCCCAGATGGGCCAAAAGGGGGTCCCAGAGGGCCAAGGGGGGACCCCATGGTGCCAAAGGGAGTTCTGGAGGGGCCAAGGGGGTCCTGGAGGGGCTAAAAAGGGGTCCTGAAGGTCCCAAAGGGCAACATGGTGGGGTCAAAGGGGGTCCTGGAGGGGCCAAAGGGGGACCCCAAGGGGCCAAAGGGGGTCCTGGAGCAGCCCAAAGGGGTCCCAGAGGGGCCAAAGTGGGGACCCAGTGGTGCGAAAGAGGGTCCCAGAGGGGGCTTCATGGTGCCAAAGGGGGTCCCAGGGGGGCCAAAAGGAGTCCTGGAGGTGCCAAAGCAGGTCCTGGAGGGGCCAAAGGGGTGCTGGAGGTCCCAAAGTGAAACCTGGTGGGGTCAAAGGGGGTCCTGGAGGGGCCAAAGGGGGACCCCAAGGGGAGAAGGGAGGTCCTGGGGGGCCAAAGGAGGTCCTGGAGCAGCCCAGTGGGGTCCTGGAGGGGCCAAAGGGCAACCTGGGGTCAAAGGGGGTCCTGGAGGGGCCAAAGGGGGGACCCAGTGGTGTGAAAGGGGGTCCCGGAGGGGCCAAAGAGGGTCCTAGAGGTGTAAAGGAGACCCTGTGGTGCCATAGGGGGTCCTAGAGGGGCCAAGGGGGTCCTAGACCTGCCAAAGAGGGGTCCGGAGGGGCCAAAAAGAGGACCCCGAGGGGCCAAAAGGGGTCCCAGGGGTCCCAAAGGGTGACCTGGTGGGGCCAAAGGGGGTCCCGGAGCAGCCCAATGGGGTCCCAGAGGGCCAAAGGGGGACCCCATGGTGCCAAAGGGGGTCCTGGAGGGGCCAAGGGGGTCCTGGACCTGCCAAAGGGGCCAAAAGGGTGACCTGGTGGGGCCAAAGGGGGTTCTGGAGGGGCCTTCATGGTGCCAAAGAGGGTCCCAGGGGGGCCAAAAGGAGGACCCCAAGGGGCCAAAGGGGGTCCCAGAGGGCCAAAGGGTGACCTGGTGGGGCCAAAAGGGGTCCCAGGGGTGCAAAAAGGGGTCCCAGAGGGGCCTTCATGGTGCCAAAGAGGGTCCCAGGGGGGCCAAAAGGAGGACCCCAAGGGGCCAAAGGGGGTCCCAGAGGGCCAAAGGGTGACCTGGTGGGGCCAAAGGGGGTTCTGGAGGGGCCTTCATGGTGCCAAAGAGGGTCCCAGGGGGGCCAAAAGGAGGACCCCAAGGGGCCAAAGGGGGTCCCAGAGGGCCAAAGGGTGACCTGGTGGGGCCAAAGGGGGTTCTGGAGGGGCCTTCATGGTGCCAAAGAGGGTCCCAGGGGGGCCAAAAGGAGGACCCCAAGGGGCCAAAGGGGGTCCCAGAGGGCCAAAGGGTGACCTGGTGGGGCCAAAAGGGGTCCCAGGGGTGCAAAAAGGGGTCCCAGAGGGGCCTTCATGGTGCCAAAGGGGGTCCCAGAGGGGCCAAAAGGGGTCTTGGAGGTGCCAAAGGGGGTCCCAGAGGGGCCAAAGAGGGACCCCATGGTGCCAAAGGGGGTCCTGGAGGTCCCAAAGGGCAACCTGGTGGGGCCAAAGGGGGTCCCAGAGGGGCCAAAAGGGGGACTCCATGGTGCCAAAGGGGGTTCTGGAGGGGCCAAGGGGGTCCTGGACCTGCTGAAGGGGGTCCTGGAGGGGCCAAAAAGGAGGACACCGAGGGGCCAAGGGGAATCCTGTGATGCCAAAGGGGGTCCCAACGTGGCCAAAGGGGGGACCTGGTGGTGCCATGGGGGTCCCAGAGGGGCCAAAGAGGGACCCCATGGTGCCAAAGGGGGTCCTGGAGGTCCCAAAGGGCAACCTGGTGGGGTCAAAGGGGGATCGCAAAGGGGGGTCCCAGAGGGGCCAAAAGGGGTCTTGGAGGTGCCAAAGGGGGTCCCAGAGGGGCCAAAGAGGGACCCCATGGTGCCAAAGGGGGTCCTGGAGGTCCCAAAGGGCAACCTGGTGGGGCCAAAGGGGGTCCCAGAGGGGCCAAAAGGGGGACTCCATGGTGCCAAAGGGGGTTCTGGAGGGGCCAAGGGGGTCCTGGACCTGCTGAAGGGGGTCCTGGAGGGGCCAAAAAGGAGGACACCGAGGGGCCAAGGGGAATCCTGTGATGCCAAAGGGGGTCCCAACGTGGCCAAAGGGGGGACCTGGTGGTGCCATGGGGGTCCCAGAGGGGCAAGGGGGGTCCTGGAGAGGGGTCCCAGAGAGGCCAAGGGGGACCCCGAGGGGCCAAAGGTGGTTCTGGAGGGGCCAAAAGGGGCCCCAGGGGGGCCAAAGTGGGGACCCAGGGGTGCAAAAGGGGGTCCCGTAGGGGCCTTCATGGTGCCAAAGGGGGTCCCAGAGAGGCCAAAAGGGGTGCTGGAGGGGCCAAAGGGGGTCCCAGAGGGGGACTCCATGGGGCCAAAGGAGGCCCTGGAGGGGCCAAGGGGGTCCTGGAGGTCCCAAAGGGCAACCTGGTGGGGCCAAAGGAGGTCCTGAAGCAGCTCAATGGGGTCCTAGGGGGGACAAAGCGGGGATCCAGTGGTGCCAAAGAGGGTCCCAGAGGGGCCAAAAGGGGTGCTGGAGGGGCCAAGGGGGTCCTGGAGGTCCCAAAAGGAGTCCCAAAGGGGCCAAAAGGGGACCTGAGGGGCCAAAAGGTTCTGGGGGTCCCAAAGGGTGACCTGGAGGGGCCAAGGGGGGTCCCAGGGGTCCCAAAGGGTGACCTGGTGGGGCCAAAGGGGGTCCCGGAGCAGCCCAATGGGGTCCCAGAGGGCCAAAGGGGGACCCCATGGTGCCAAAGGGGGTCCTGGAGGGGCCAAGGGGGTCCTGGACCTGCCAAAGGGGCCAAAAGGGTGACCTGGTGGGGCCAAAGGGGGTTCTGGAGGGGCCTTCACGGTGCCAAAGAGGGTCCAGACCCCCTGCCACGTGGCCAGCAACCTGCCACCGGTGGCTACCACTTGCCAGCTCTGTCCCAGCACTAGCCACCTCCTTGCCCCACTTGGG